ATTCAGCAAAATAGCAAGATATAAAATCAACACCCATATGTTAGGAAGAATTAATATTGTCAAGATCGCTATAGTATCAAAAACATTAAACAGATTGAATGAAATTCCAATTAAAATCCCCACAACATTTCTCATAGAAATAGAAAAAGAATCATGAAATTCATTTGGAAAAATAAGAGACCCAGAAAAGCCAAAGCAATTCTTAACAAGAAGAGCGAATCAAGAGGCAAAAGTTAAATGCATTTGTATACATCAGTGATGAACCCTCAGAAAGAGAAATTATAAAACTGCCCTATTCACAATAGCCTCAAAAAATAAAATACTTGGGAATCATCCTAACAAAAGAAGTGAAAGACCTATACAATCAAAACTACATAACACTAAAGAAAGAAATTGAGGAAGCTCTTAGATGGAAAGATCTCCCACGTTCTTGCATAGGAAGAATTAATATTCTCAATATGACCATACTATCCAATGGGTTATACAAATTTAATGCAATTCCTATTAAAATCCTAACAACATTCTTCATAAAAATTGAAAAAGCAATGATGAAATTTATTTGGAAAAATAAGAGACCCAGAATAGCCAAAGCAATTCTTAGCAAGAAGAGTGAAGCAGGTGGCATCACAATACTAAACTTTAAGCTATACTACAGAGCTTTAGTAACAAAAATGGCTTGGTATTGGCACCAAAATAGACTTGTAGATCAATGGCACAGAATATAAGACACAGAGACAAACCCAAATAAATAAAGTTATCTCATTCTAGACAAAGGCACCAAAAACATTCATTTGTGAAAAGATAGACTCTTTAACAAACAAATGGTGCTGGGAAAACTGGAAATCCATATGCAGAAAAATAAAATTAAACCTCTATCTCTCACCATGCACAAAACTCATCTCAAAGTGGATCAAGCACCTATGAATTATACCATAAACCCTGCACTTAGTATAAGAAAAAGTAGGCCCAAATCTTCATCATGTCAGATTAGGTCCTGACTTTCTTAACCAGACTTCTAAAGTACAAGAAATAAAGTCAAGAATTAATAAATGGGACGTATTCAAACTAAGCTTCTTCTAAGCAAAGAAAACAATCAATAATGTGAATAAAGAGCCCACAGAATGGGAAAACATCTTTACTACACACATATAGAATAGACTACTAATATACAGGATATATAAACAACTCAAAAACTTAACACCAAAAAAATGGGTTAAGCAACTGAACAGACATTTCTCAGAAAAAGATATATAATTGATCAACAAATATGTAAAAATATGTTCAACTTCCACTAGTAATTAGAGAAGTGCAAATCAGAACTACTCTAATCTTTCATCTCACATCTCACTCTAGTCAGAATGGCAATTATCAAGAATACAAGCAACAGTAAGTATTGGCAAGAATATAGGGGAAAAGGCACACTCATACATTGATGGTGGGACTGCATATTGGTGAACAATATGAAAAGCAGTGTGGAAATTCTTTAGAAAAACTTGCAATGGAACCACCATTCGATCCAGCTATCCATTTCCTCAGCCTATACCCATAGTACTTGAAATCAGCATATTACAGTGACACAGTCACATCAATGTTTATAGCAGCTCAATTCATAATAGCTAAACTGTGGAACAAACCTAGTTGTCCTTCAACAGATGAATGGATAAAAAAACTTTGGTATATATTATACACTACGGAATATTGCTCAGCATTTAAAGAGGATAAAATTATGACATTTGAAGGTAAATGGATGAATTTGGGGAATATCATGCTAAGGGAAATGAGCCAATTCTAAAAAATCAAAGGCCAAATATTCTCTCTGATAAGTGGATTCTGATTCATAATGGAGGTGGGGGCATGGAGAGAATGGAGGAAATTTGATTGGGCAAAGGGGAGGAAAGGGAAGGGATGGGGCATGGAGGCAGGAAAAAGGGTAGAATGAGATGAACATCAATCATTACCCTAGGTACATGTATGACTGCATATGTGGTGCGAGTCTACATCATGTACAACTATACCAGTGGAAAGTCATGCTCCATATGTGTACAATGAATCTAGATGCATTCTGCTGTCATGTATAACTAATTAGAACAAATGAGAAAATAAAATAAAAGCAGACATCTGAAAAATTCTGTTCTTATTGCGTATGCTAAGCATGTTTATTATAATGCACCTTGGTGTGGGTCTGTTGTAATTTTGGACATTTGTGTCCTGTAAACCTCTTCTATTTAATTTTACATTTCATTCCTCAGGTTTGAAAAATTTTCTGATAATATTTTTTTGAAATACTGTGCATTCTTTTGGTTGGTGTCTCTTCACCTTCCTCTATCCCAATAAATCTTAAATTTGGTCTTTTCATCTCATCCCATAATTCTTGGAAGTTGTGTTTATAATTTCTTACCATATTCTCTGTGTAGTCAGCTTTATTTTCAAGATTATAGATTTTTGTCTTCATTGCCTGAGGTTCTGCCTTCCAAGTGATCTAGTCTTTTGGTGATACTTTCCATTGAATTTTTAATTTGGTTTATGGGTTCTTTTGTTGTGAGGATTTCTGCCTGATTTCATAACCTCTATCTCTATTGAAGTGATGTTTTACCTCCTGAAATTTTTCTCTGATTTCACTCCTTATCTCATTCTTTATGTTGCAGATCAGTTTAACTATGGACATTCTGAACTCCTTCTCTGACATTTCTTCTACTGTGTTGTCAATGGATTCTATTATTGGAGCATCTTGGTTTGTTTGTGGTGATTTGTTCCTGTGTTTTTTCATGTTGTTCCTATATCTTCCCATATATCAGTGTGGATCTGAGGTAGTACTGTTTCTACCCTTTAGACTTATAGAGTCCCTGAAGGTTTCCTGTACCTTACTATTAAGGGGGAGACTAATATTAACAGCAATTGATGCAAACAATATATAGCCTTAAGCCTAATAGCTCCTATGAAGATGTCAGGCACTCCTCTCCCAGGCTGTCCTGAGGGCTGAATGATGGGACCTATGTGCCTGTTGTGGAGAGCTATTCTGTATCAGGTGGATCAGGACCAGGCTCTGAGAGAAGTGTGCCAATCATGTAGCTGTGAGCACTGGACCAGGTTTGTGGCTAGGGAGGGGTTGGGAGACTGGAGAATGGGGAGCCAGAGGGCCCTGCTAGGTTCTGGACTAATGCTGGACCTAGTGGGATCAGAGGATCCATGGACGCTGGGGGAGGAAGTGGGGACTGGGCTGGGGCTGCAACCCAGCAATTGCCTGCCTAAGTGGACTACAGAAACCTGGTGGGTACCAGACCATCTGGCAGGGCAAACTGAGAGCAAGATGCCCTCACATCCTCTTCGAACCTTTTGATCCACTGCAGTCACCCCATCATCCCTCTGTGCTTCAGGACTCTAAGAGCTTGGGAAGGCCCAGCAGTCTCCTGCACCTGCAGCAAGATAGTAGCCACCAGAACACTGAGCAAAAATACCCCAAGTGCAACCAAACCTGCGGACACCTTGATTATGGACTTCCAGGCCCTGGATGGTGTCCCAGGATGGAGGCAGCCATGCTCAGAGATGGGGCAGTGGTAGGAGGTGGTGCAGAGGTGGGCAGCACCTCATTTACTTCTTTATTATTTTATTAGAAAACTAACTCAAATTAGAAAATTTTTTGATAGAGTATTTGTCTCATTATTGATTTTTAAAGAAATTTTTAAAAATTATTGTGGTGGTCACTCATAAGTTTTTATAAGTGTGTTTTTGTCAGGTTGAGTAAATTTATTTTTAGACTTAATTTTTAATATGAATAGATGTGCAACTCTACTGAATACTTTAACTCATCTGTTGAGGGGGCTGTATGGTTTTCTTCTTCAGATTTAATGTGGAAATTATACCAATTAAGTTTCTTTTATTAAATATTCTTTGTTGTTTGTGTGTGTGCTACTAGGGATTTAACCCATGAGTGCTTTCCAATGAGCTACACCCCAGCCCTTATAAATTTTTATTTTGAGATAGGGTCTCACTAAGTTGCTGAGGCAGGCCTCAAATTCATAATTTTCTTGCCTCACCCTCCTGAGCCACTGAGATTACAGGTAGGCACCATCATGTGGGACTTGATAGTAAATGTTCTTAAATTCCTTACCCTACATTTGACTTGATAATGATGAACTATATTTTAATATATTTAAATTTGACTTGATAACCTCTTTTAGGACATATATTATATTTTTAAAGGAAGATTGACCTATAATTTTCCATTCTCATAGTGTTTTTGTTTCTAATTTTTGGTCATTTTGCTACCCTCATAAAACAGTTAATGCAAATTTTCCACTTTCTGTTCTTTGGAAGAATTTTTAAAAACATTTACACATTAATGGGCATGGAGCAGGGATTACTGGCACTTGCCTGTAATCCCAACTATTCAGGAGGCTGAGCTAGGAGGATTGAGGGTTTGAGGCCAGCTTGGGCAACATAAAGAGATCCTATTTTAAAATGCACACAAATACACACATTTATGTGCATGCACATACACACACACACAGACAACAACAACAAAAAAAACATTTGCACATTAATATAAATTGTCAGTAACTCTTAAAAGTCTTGGTAATTTTCTGATGAGGGAAGAGTAGAAGTATGGAGCATACACTACACATGCTCAGGTAAACATGATCTTGTGTATCAGGATCCAGAGTGCTAAGTGTAAGCAAATGCCCAGAGGGGTAGTCCAGTTCAAAATTGTCAGGAGTGAATACTGCAAAGTCCAGGAGCCACAGAATTGTAAATAATGACAGAGGGTCTCATAAACAGTGATGGTTTTCTTTCATTTGCCTCTTTTGACCACCTGCTGTGTGGCAAACAGTTCACAGACATTATCTCTAACATTCCCAAGAATACTGAAAAATTGGGATATTATTGATTCCTATTTTACATTTAGAAAATGAGACTATAATGGGTTAAAAGACTTAACCATCTTATAATCATCAATCTGTGCAGCAAGGATTGAAGTACCGGTTTATTTGACTCCATAGTCTGGCTTTTTCCTCTATTACCTGCCATCTCTCAATGAAATGAACTCCTGTTTCTTCCAGTTGGGTTTTGAGAGCTCCAATGACTGGTGAAGCTGAAAAATACACATTTTTCCTTTTTAAAATGTAAGTTTGAGTGGATTTTCTTATGCACTTTTATTTTACATTCTCTTTCTTAAGGTACCTCTTTACTAAGCACAATAGGCAACTAATAGACAAAGGAGTCCAGTCAAAAATATGATACATTAGCTTAGAACCAAAATGTAAAAAGATTACCTACTTTATGCAATTAAATTAAAACTATGGCATATTTGATAAATGAATCCTTCCCACAAAGTGGCCTAGGAATAAAGTTTGTGATTTTAGTTTGGGTTTTCTTAACATAGACCAGTGATTTTATTTACAGAAAATGGACTGGAAGATTGTCAGGGGTCTTATTGGTATTTGTACTACTTGTCAGAGATAGTAAAAAAGATTGTCACTGTAACTCATTAATATTTAGGACAAAATTTACATCTCCTTTCTTCAGGGTTATTGTTGCCATGGTAATATTAGACATCAAGTTTTGCACAGAGGGATACTGCTCCCTGCCTGTTCACTGTGACAAGAGCTGAGTAGGAAGGATTTCTGGACCATAAGGGGAAGATCTTTGTATATTAGAATAAGGGTAGAGTGTCAGTTAAGAAACTGACTCTGACTGTGTTAATACCTCTTTTTATTTCAATGTCCATTCTAATATTCTGAACATGAGTGAGTATCAAACTACACACTTGCATTTGCAAAATGCGAAGCTTTCAATAAAGTGCTTTTCTTTGACACTGTGAAAACTGCAGAATCTCATTCCCATTGAGCAGGTGAATGGGAAGCATTGCCTAGTGGAGAGAATCTTATCAACCAATTCTGTGTCACAAACTCAGTCAATGGTGTGAAGAAATTGTCTGACTTTGATGTCCCATGCCCTTTAGATATTTTTCAATTGAGTATTTTTCCCCTGTCATCTTAATATTTCTTTTTCTAAAAAATGAACTGGGTCAGTTATTTGGTAGATATAGTTCACTCTTTACGGTGGGATCTTTTTTATTTGATTGTGTTTCACTTATTTTTTACAATAAGCAATGGATCCATGAGATCAGTGATGAAAGGATCTGTATGTGAGAACAGAGCCAAAATTAGAAGCCTGAAGACAATAATATGTGTATGTGGAGAAAGAAAAATTCATCAAGGAGATGGAAAATGAAATCCAAGCATGTGGAACAAGGTCAAGAGGTAAATGAACATTAGAAATGCACCAATGATTAGCACATTAAAATACAGCACCGAGAACCAATAAGATAGGAATGAAAAGTTGCCCTTAGGATCAGCTTTAAGGAAGCCATGATAATTAATGAGAGCAATTCCATTATATTTGGTGAGAGGCTGTATTGCAATGGAGAGGAAAATAGGTGGATAGTAAAAACTAGGAGTTGTAGGGAAAACTCTTTGAATAATCAGAATAAGAAGAGAAAGAGATGAATCAAATGGAAATAGGAGAAGAGTATAGGATTGGGAGAGAGTTTAAAATCTTTTCAGAATGAATATGAGTATATTTATAGGCTAAGGAGCCAGTTTAAAGGAGATATGGAGGTTACAGAACATGACAGCGGGCACGGAGGTATCAAGTCTCTGACCTCTCCAGCTGCTCGGGCATAGGGAGTCTTAAATCATGTAAATGCTGTTTTCTCAAGATCACTAGGCATTGCTGAGCTAACATGGATCTGGGACGAATAGCCTGCTCCTCTCAGAACACACACCGAGCATGTAGTGGCCGAATTTAGGCTCCCATTCGCCTGAGTCTCGCAGACAAACTGCTCTGGTTCAGTGCTTAACGAACCCGCATAAACTGCTTGTCGGTACCGGTCCCGCCGAATCATGTGGAGGTAAATACCAACCAAGCCTTCATAGGCAGTGGCAACAGGATTGAGATGGGGCTTGGGAGGGCCGGTCAGGACCCACCCGTTGCTTTGGTCACCCTGCAAAGGGAATGAAATGCTGCCATTCACATGGGATACCAACATGGCAGAGAACTGACGTCACCAGAATGCGGCGGAGGAGATAACATCTTTGTAACCAGCGTTGGCAGGTGTGTATCCCCCTACCCACCCACCTCCACACAGTGGGGAAACCTCAAGGGCCCCTCCCAGCTCTCCTGCGAGCATGATACTCACACCAAGGGATTCAGGAGTGATGCAGGACATGCGGTGCGGGACCCCCTGGCTACCGCTCCCACCAGCGCAGACAACTGAGGTCTCTCACACCAGCTCCTGGGGGCGAGGCTACCGGAGGGCAGGCAAAATATGCCGAGGGTTCTCAGCCCTAAGTGCCACAAACTTAGGGTCTGAGGGATTGGCAAGCAGGGAGAGTGTGCCCAGATGTTCATGAAAATAGGGCTCCTGGGAGCAGCAGGCCTGGCGCATAACCAGTATTGTGGTGAGCGTCACCAGTGAACAGGGCCAGTGGCGAGGTGACTAGACACAAGAAACGGCCTGAGGCACTCAGGAGTGGAGGAGGAGCTCAGTTGGGGAGGAGGAGCTGCTGCACAGTGAATGGTTCCTGCACATTGAGAGGAGAAGCTTGGCCCAGTGGGCACAGCTCCACCTACTGGAAGAGAAGTTAATCGAACTCTAAGACTGCATTTAAAAAATTTTTTTAATTTAATTTTTTTCTTTTTTTAATTTTTTAAAATATCTTTTTGTATTATTTTTTATTTTCACTTTTTAAATTATTTTTTTATATTTTTTCTTTTTTTCTTTTCTATTTTTTCTTTAGTCTTTTCATTTCTTTTCAATTTCCTTATTCCCCTTTCCTTGAATTCTATATGTTTACTCTCATTCTCTTTAGTGACTTCTTCCCTTCCCTTTCCTCCCAAGCAATACGATGCTGTTTATGTGTAATTTACTAAATATGTATAGGTCAATGTTCCAAGATATTATATAGTGCTACCAAGACCCTAACTTCCCTCAAATACTCCAAACCATTCTCCTGTTAATATCCCTCAACAGTAGAGCAACATTCCAAGGTTGCCATGAGATACCAACCTCAATACCATCACATCATTCAACCTAAATATAAATCCCAAGACCAAACTGCAGACCGCTATATGCCATCAGAATCCATACACAGTTTAGGAAATGAATGAATCTACACTAAAGTGCAACAAAACTCATCATCTCTAGTCATAGTCTTTCATCACAAAAGAGAGACCCCAGAGACACACAAAACCAAATAAATTTATAGGAGTAAACAGTAACTCAGCAGTCAAACAGAGCAAGAAGTAATATAAGCAGCATGAAAAAGCAAGGAAGAAAAGGAGTAAAAACAATGCAGGACAGCCTAAATATACAAGAGGACCTAGAGGCATCAGAAAAATGGCC